AGGTGCCGGGGAGCTATGACTCAGTGTGTGACCTCAGCATGGGCCCGGGTGCAGGGGGAGAGGGCAGTTTCCTATGAGATTGTGACTCAGGGGCCCAGGGCTGGGGAGGTAAAGCACCTTTGTTGGCCTGGGCTCAGGAATCCAGAGAAACTGGTCAGGGAAAGGCCCCGGGGACTGAAACCCCTCCCTCTGTCCCCGCCCCTCCAGGGAGCCATATAACCGCCCCACGCTCACTAGAGCACTAGTGCGAGTAGCAGCTGTCGGCTGGAAGGAACTGGTCTGTCTGGTCACACTCACTGAGCTGGCTTCTGACTCTTGGGAGAGACCTTCACAGCTGCTCCGACTGCCTTCTTCGCCTTTGCCTTCGCCTTGGACTCACAGTGAAAGGCCTCCCTGTGGACACTGAGTGACCATCCCCAGCACTTGGATTTCTACAGCGCCCAGGGCCAGACCCCCAAAGACTTTGAGGTCCTAGACCCCAGCAGACGCGGAACGATGGCCTCCATGGGGCTACAGGTGATGGGCATCGCGCTGGCCGTGCTGGGCTGGCTGGGCGCCATCCTGAGCTGCGCGCTGCCCATGTGGCGGGTCACGGCCTTCATCGGCAGCAACATCGTCACATCGCAGACCATCTGGGAGGGCCTGTGGATGAACTGTGTGGTGCAGAGCACCGGCCAGATGCAGTGCAAGGTGTACGACTCCATGCTGGCGCTGCCGCAGGACCTGCAGGCCGCCCGCGCCCTCATCGTCATCTGCATCGTCGTGGCTGTGATGGGCGTGCTGCTGTCTGTGGTGGGTGGCAAGTGCACCAACTGCGTGGAGGACGAGAGCACCAAAGCCAAGATCATGATTGTGGCGGGCGTGGTGTTCATTCTGGCCGGCCTGCTGGTGATGGTGCCCGTGTCCTGGACGGCCAACACCATCATCCGAGATTTCTACAATCCGCTGGTGGCCTCTGGTCAGAAGCGGGAGATAGGGGCCTCGCTCTACGTGGGCTGGGCGGCTGCCGGCCTGATGATGCTTGGGGGGGCCCTGCTCTGCTGCAACTGCCCACCCCGCACTGACAAACCCTACTCGGCCAAGTATTCTGCCGCCCGCTCCGCCCCTGCCAGCAACTACGTGTAAGGTGCCACCGCTCAACTCTGTTCAGACTTTGTTTCTCCCTGGACTCAGCTCAGCGCAGCTTGTAACCCTAGGACGGCCCTGCCGTGGCCCGCAGGCTGCTGGGGGATGGGCGAGCAGGGACTGAGACAGGACATTGGCCAGCAGCCCTCAGCCCCTTCTGGCCCTCTCAGATGCCTTCCTGAGGCCTCCTCTACGCTACAAGGACGGACTGAAAGACTTCCTAGCCACCTTCCTCTGCATGGATATGGACACGGGGGCGGGAGGTGTGGGGGGGGCAGCAAACGGGCATGGCAGTGGAGTGGGGAGCTGGCTCTTGCTGGCCAGGACAGCTCAGCCCTGACTCTACTTGGGATCTCTGCCTGGGTGCCCTGCCAATGCCTGTGTTGGCCACTGTTCTTTGATCATCCCCTCTCCCTCCAAGTGCATCCGGTGGAAACCTGTGGCCGTGAGAATGCCTGGGGCCTCACCCACCCACCTGCCTATGGAGCAGAGTTGACAGACGGGTTTAGAAGGGAGGGGTGAAGGTGCTACAAACTGGTTTGGGTAGTGGTGGGGGAGGGGGCTGTAGAGGCAGCCCTGGCTGCCCGTACCTCTTCCCACCCACCCTGTAGCCTCAGTGGCTTCAGCAGAACCCTGGGCCCCTTGACACTGGCCACCTCCATCTGCTAATGCGAAGGTCATTGGCTGGCCTGGGGGTGGCAGGGGGAACAGAATCACTCTGGCCTTCATCCTGGGGCTTTTCCCTGCCTCCTCTGTGGTCTGTTTTGTAATTTAAGATCTATTTGTCACGGTAATTACTATTATTTTCTACAATAAATGGGACCTGTGCACAGGAAGACTCTGTATGTTTCTGATTTCAGCTGTGGAGGTGGGCAGGGCAGGGGTGGAGGGGGTCAGCGAGGGGTAGGACCACTGTGTCTAGCCTGGTTGAGAACTTAAAAAACTGGTTTCGTGAAAAAAAAAAAAGGAACTGGCCTGACCTTTGGAATCACCTTGTTCAAGCCCTTCAGTTATTAGAGGGTGAAGCCCATATACAGGGAAGTGTGTGCCCAGAACCCTGGTGAAGTGTTGGGGACTTTAGGAGGGAGGGCTGATGGGGACATCCAGACCTAGTGAATGGGCCACCTGTTCTCTCCCTGTTTGTCCCAACTTTGTCTGGGCAGCCAGGCTGGTCTGCTCATGCTTCCTCCGGGCTTTTGCTTAGACTTTCCCTGCCTTGAGCCTGGAATGTTCTTTTTCCTTTCCCCACCCCTCTGAATCCTGCTCATCCTGAAGGCCCAGCTTGGAGCCTCCTCCCCCACGAAGCCTTCCCACCTGCTTGGAGGAATTATTACCAGCCCTGGTCATGGGGCAGCCTCCAAGCCTCACCCTGAGTTCCGATCTCTTTGGAGATAAAGTAACCGAGTCCTGGACATGTGAAAGTGTTTGGCCAAGGCCCAGAGGCAGGCATGCACGTTTCCTGTTTGGTGAGTTAGAGGTGAGAGGGCCCATCAGCCTGGGAAGAGTCATAAAGCCCCATCTTTGGCCCTGTCGTGTCTGGCTCAGGGACCACCGGGGTGCGGGCCCTCTCTGTCCAGTCTCTTCTCACTTCTGTCCTCCACAGGGACGATGTCACTCTTTCCCTGGGTGAGAGAACTGCAGAGTCAGAATCCCTGTTGCCCCTCTGGGACTCATTTAATGGGCAGAGCTTTCCTGAGAAGCAGGGTTGGTGCAGTGGCCCCATTTTACAGATGAAGTACCGAAGGCCCGAGGACAGGCCTGGATGAAGTCACCTGGAAGGTCAGAGGCCAGTGAGGGGCTGAGCACTGGGCCTTACTGCCTCCACCTGGGCCACCTGCCGCTTTCGGTAGAGGTAGACAATGCCGGAGATGAAGCCACCGCTGTCAGAAGTGCCAGGCACCGCCTCGAGCTTGGTGGTAGCCAGTTCCCACCGGTCCACAGGCCAGGCTACCAGGCGTTCCCACTCCCTGGCCTGCTCCAGCTTGTCCAGGGTGGCCTCCAGGGCCTCCTTGTATTGCAGGTTGGAGGGGTTGGTCCTGGTGGTCAGACACACCAGCCCACCTGGGGAGGGATGGGGGAAAGGGAGGTGAGAGGCAGGAGCCAAAGTTCCAGGTTAGTGGTCCCCTTTCCTTCTGGCTCATGTCCTCAAGGACATAAGTTCTCCCAGCTTACCCCCAGGCCAGCCTTTTCCTATCTCCAAGCCTGTGGTGCCTGCTCACCATTTCCACCTTCAGGAATCACCTCTGCTTCTCCAGCTTGAATGCCTCCCATGTACCCTTTATGTCCCAAGTATCCTTTATGCTAGGAATTATTTCTCTGGACAGAGGGGGCTCCCTCCTCACCACTCACCCAGCGCCTCTGCTGGAGGACATGGCTGTGCCTGGATGCACAGGAAGGAAGCACATGGCCTTGGACATGTCCCTTCACCTCCCTGAGTCTCAGTTTCTCGCTTGCAGAGAGGGGTTAATGAGTTACCCTGTCTCAGAAAGGCCAGTGCAGTCAGTAAGCACTGGCTGAATGAATGAGTGATTTCGCCCCTTCAAATCTTTTCGGGGCACCCACAGTATGCCCAGTGCAGGCTCAGATACACTTAGATACTGGTGTCTGAAAGATTTCCTGGAGGAAGGGGTGAGGAGAAGCAGGCCTTGCTGGCGGAGAGGGGCTGTGAGAGGAAAGACTCTGAAGGGGGAGCATGTGACCTGTGGGCAGGCAGACAGGGCTCTGGCCAGCTGAGGGGTCTGGTGAGCACGGGCTGGGCTATGAGGCCTGGTCTTTACTGGTTCAGGCAATGGGAGTTTCCTGTCCTGAGCCCAGTCACTACCTCTTTCTCTGACCCCACTAATGTCCCTACATCGGTCAGCCTCCATGGTTCCGAGGCCGGCCCTGACCTGCCCAGGCTTAGCCACAGCCTGTGCTGCGCCCCTGCAGGGAGATGCAATCTTGCTGTGACAGGGGCACCTTTGGGGCTTCCTGGTCCTGATTGCAGTCACGTCAGGGCCTCATGACCCTCAGACTCCACTCTCCTTTCTGCCTGTAACTTCACTGAGGCCAGTGGTTCTCAAACTTCTGGCCCTTTAAATATAGTTCCTCATGTTGTGACCCAACCATAAAATTATTTTCGTTGCTACTTCATAACTGTAATGTTGCTACTGTTATGAATCGTAATGTAAATATCTGATATGCAGGATAGTCTTAGGCGACCCCTGTGAAAGGGTCGTTTGACTGCCAAAGGGGTCGCGGCCCACAGGTTGAGAACCGCTGACTTAGGCTGTGTCCCTGTGTGGACTGCCGCCACTCCCCCATCCCAGCCCTGGTCTTCCTCCCCTGGGCCCTGCCATGCATGTAGCCCAAGTGTTTGGGAAGCAGGGACATGGTGGGTTGGTGATGGAGCCCAGAGGGCAGGTGTAGACTTTCTCCTCAGAGCAGAGGCAGGCACAGGGCAAGACACACAATAGCAAAGCATTAGCCCCATTTCACAGAAGAGGAAACTGAGTCCAGGAAAGAACGACTCATCTAACAGTCATCCATGAGTTAGTGAGGAAGCTGGAAGATGAGGGAACTGAATTGAGACTTTAAGCCAAGACTAAAGCAAAGGCCTTAGAGATATTATTTCACCCAATCATCATGGTAATCCTATTAGGAAGGGACTATGCCTACGGAGAGAGGAGTGGTTATTCCTGGTTGCCTAATGAATAAGAAGCAAGGAGGCCACTTGTCTGCCCTGCTTGTTTGCCTGGGTCAGCATTCAGCAGCTGGTGGCTGAGATGTTAGGCGAGGCTGTGTGACCCTAGGCAAGACCATGCCACTTGGTTGGCCTCAGGAATTCTGAGGCTTGAGTCTTTGGGTGTGGAGAGGGTAAGGTGTCTGGGGTTGGTCGGGCTGCTTCTCACCTGGCTTGGTAACTCGCAGGAGCTCGGGTATCGCACTACAGGGCACCTGGCCGTCACTGAGGGCACCCACCATCAGCACTGCGTCATAGGTCCCTGTGTGAAGTGTGCAGATGTGGTGTGGTGGTTTGTCTTTGGTGTGGCCTCAGACCACCTTGGAGGATGGTATCCATGGTGGGTTTGGGGAGCGACCAGGCCAGCCAGGAGTGTCTGCAGGACCCAGATCCCGGGGGGGATATGGCAGGTTAGCCCAATTCTGGTCCGAGGTCAGATCATGGGGACAGAGAGCTCAGAGAGGGGCTCACGGGACCTCAGAGAGGGTCTTAGTGAGGCACTGGGAGGCTCAGAGGGGAATGAAGGCTCAGCATAGAAGGGGGCTCATGGAGGGCTCAGCAAGGGGGATGGAAACTTGGCAAGAGAAAGAGGCCCTGTCAAGGGGGCCTTGGGGGTGTTAGGGTACAGGAGGAAGTACCTTCAGGGCTGGGCAGAGGCTCCTGGCCCAGGGTGCAGAGGCTGAGGCGCTGGTAGAGGCCGCGGGCCCGGGCCTGTTCCAGCATCCCTGAGCTCCCATCCACTCCATGCAGCTGGAGGAAGCCTCGGGCCTGCAGCTGGGGTGGGAGGGCTGTCACAGTTCACACCTGCCACCTCCCAGAGGGGTCCCTGCACCTTAAGGAGAGCAGTGGGCCTGTAGTGGATATAGCCCAAGTGTTTGGGAACCAGTGAACTGGGGCCAGGGTCGCAAGCAATGCGAGCACGTGCGGGGCTTACAAGAGGGCAGGGGATCTGGGCAGGCCTCACCTCGGCAGCCACCAGTCCGGTGCCACAGGCCACATCCAGGATCAGGGCGGCGTGGGGTGGGCCTGGAAGGGCTTGGGTGAGGCACTCCACTGCAAGGTTGGGGGCACGGTACTGCAGGGCAGCCACATCCTGGGGACAGAGTGCTGAGCTGACTACCACCCTGTGTCCTAGTGTCTGCGGGCCTCAGTGTGGGGTGGTCTAGGAGTCAGCCAGGCTAAGCTGTGTGTGTGTGTGTGTGTGTGTACATGCTCCGGTGGCCAGGCCCGCTGGGACTGCAGTGAGAGACAGGCATGAGGTGCTATCCTCTCAGCCCACTGCCGAGACCTGTTCTGCTGGCCAAGGCAGTGCTCTGTGTGCTCTGTCCATAGTGGCCCTTCAATGGCACCTGCTTCAGGCAGGCAGTCCTTCTGCCTGGGCTGCAGTCCCGAAGTGGGGAGGGAGGTCCTGGCCCCTGATCTCCAGGGGCTGCCACTGTGGAGTGATGGGGCTGGTCGGAGGGCAGGGCTGCGGTGTGTGGGCAGAAAAGGGGGCAGTTCAAGAGGGAACAGGACTGCAAGGTTGCGCCCAGGTCTCACTTCATTCTCACAAGCCGCCCTGGGATGCAAGGCTACCTATTCCCGGTGTACAGATGGGAAAACTGAGGCTGGGCGAGCAAGGGAGGCGGAGGACCCCGCGGGTTTACCTGGTCATAGTCCGAAGCCCAGCGGTCATAGAAGCGCAGCTTCTGGGCCAGGTCGGTGATGCCGTGCGAGGCCCCGACCCGCGCCCGCACCTGGGACAGGCTTCCGCCCTCCTCCTGAGCCATCCTCCTGCTGGGAAAAGGCCTCCGGATCCCGAGGTCCAGCTCAATCTCCACCCCCACCCCTCCCACCCGCCTTGCACAGCAGAGGCTCTCCGGGCGCCGCACACTCCCATTGCACAGGCGGGGACCCTGAGCAGAGCATGCACACCTGGGGTTCAGGGCTGGGGAAGGGGTTCCAGCGGCGGGAGGGAGGGCCTGCCCGGACCTCCCCGACCCCCGCAGCCGGGAGCGGGTTTCCAGGGCCAAAGGTCTCTCCGGCGGTAGGAAGAGTGAAGGGGGGGAGGGGGGTT